CGGCTCTGAATGCCATCTTTTCTACCATCAAGAATAAATTCAAATGTCAACTATTCCCCATGGTGTTTTCTGATGTTCATCAGGATGATAGCTGCCTCCCCTTGTGTCTCCTGCATCTGGATTAATCCTCTTTTAAAGTGGTTATCAGATGGATGGATGGATGAACACATGATAAATGTCATTGTCTTCCCAATTGCGCTATGAATCCTTTCAAGGCACAGATTCAGCTTGCATCTCTGTAGTCCTACCGCCTGATACATAGTAGAGACTCAATAAATGCCCAAATTGGCTGTTAAATCTGTGTTCACAGCTGGTCCTGGATTAACAAGTTAACCTGAAGGCAAGAGGCTTCAGGTGTACACACGAGCAGATGATCTGTAGATGCAAGATCTCTGAGTCTTAGAACCCACAGCTAGATCAGATTTCAGCCAGAGGCCTACTAAGTACTTTTCAGTCAGAAGAAAAAAGATACCCCTGTAAGATCAGAGCCTGAGGTTGCCTGGAGCCAGCCAAGAGTGTGGACATTGACACAGTCCCATTCTGTTTCTATGGGAGTTGGTAAGAAGAGCTGATTTGGGGGGAAGGCTAACCCATCCCCACCAGACCATCCAGGCAGGGTATGCGCTGAGTGCCTTTGGCATTCCAACCTCTACAACAGACCCTGGGAAGAGATAAAGAGGGACTGCCCTGCTTTCCAGGAACTCACTGTCTGGTGAAAGGAAGTTTTGCTTTCCTGGGGAAAGATGAAGGGACAACAAATTGCTGGTCCCCTCCCAACTATGACCCAGGGTTAAGGGGAGGTAGAGTGCCATATCTTCTTGCTCCCTCCAACCTCTAGTAGTTTATATCTGTCCTAGAAAACAGTATTCCATGTGCCTGGACCTGGAGTTCAGAAGGTCACAATTAGTCACCTCTTCCTCCCAGTCCCACTTTACCTCTGCTAGCTCAGTTTCCTCATCTGCAGGGGGTGGGGTTTGGCAACAAGGCTGTAATTAAACAATGTATGCAAAACTTTCCAGTTCACAGTCAACCATCCAGGAGCTGGCCTCAACCTCCTGTGGACAATTACCATTTTGGAACCACAACTTCCTTCAGGGACAAGATTTTGTCCCTGACCTTGCCTTCCTGAAACCTGAATGAGAACATTAAATGCTACCAGAATACCTTCTATATGACAGAAGACAAAATGAGAGCTCAAAGATGTGAGTGGGCATGAATCTGCCTCCGTGGTAACTTGGGTTCTTTTCCCCTGTCTCAAGCTGTCCCTGAGGACCTATGATGTGTCTGGCCCGGCCATGACCTGCCCTTCCATGCAGGTAAGTTCATCCAGGTTTCCTGGATTCACTGGGGTCCACTGGCCTACTCCACATCCCCATATAGAAGCAGTCGAGTAAGTGCTTAATGGAATGCCTCAGCTACTTGGATATGCCTCCAGTAACTTGACCTTTTACATTCCCCAGCTAATGTCTAATTTGCATATACGAATCCTTTTTAGGAGATGGCAAATCACCAGAGACAACATAGGATCAATATCGAGTATTATAGGCACGTTTTATTCTACTCTAATTCTCTGCAAATTGGTATTCCATTAACTATACATGGGATTTATGGGAGCTTGCTATAAACTAGAATATTTAACTAGAATGGCCTACTCTGTCAGATAATAGCTTACTGTTGTTAATTTTCAACTAGTCAATCACAGAAAGGTTTCCAGCTTCCAATATGCTTTACATCTTGATTTAATCATCAGGAAAGCCATCTATTTCAAAGTCTCTGTACAACAAAGGGCAGCCTAATGCAGGAAAAAACCCCACGTCCTCAGAAACAGAAGACATGGGTTACATCCCAAACCATATACTGTGTAATTGGCTGTGCAGAGCCTTGATTTCCTCATCTGTAAAATGGGAGTAACACCAGCCTCAAAGAGGAGTTGTAAAAATGAAATGAAATGATACATGATGCCTGTACCCTGTGCAGTTCTACAAGGTTATGGAAAGGTTAGTTACCACAAAACACAAGTTGAAATTCTTAAACAACTCAGGCTAAGGATAGAAAGCAAGGATTATCTAAATCAGTGGTTCGGGGGCGGGGGGGTTGCGTCCTAGGGGATATATGACAACGTCTGGAGGTTGGCAGGTATGGAGGGGACAGGGAATGCTGCTGGAATCAACTGAGACCAAGAATACATCCCACAGTGGACAGGACAGCCGCCACAACAAAGAATTCCCCTAATGTTCACAGTGTGAGGTTGAGAAACCATGATCAAAATAATCACTCACTGATAAATCAGATAAAAATATACACTGGGGGAAAGAAACCCCATTCAATAAATGGTGCTGGGAGAACTGGATAACCATGTGTAAAAGACCAAAATTGGACCCGCAACTTTCTCCACTCACTAAAATAGATTTAAGATGGATGAAAGATCTAAATCTAAGGCGTAAAACAATAAAAATCCTGGAAGAAAGTGTGGGGAAAACACTTGAAGGTATCGGCCTGGGGAAGGACTTTATGAAGAAGATACCAGTGGCAACTGCAACAATAATAAGAATAAACAAATGGCACTTAATTAAACTGAAAAGCTTCTGTACAGCTAAGGAGACAACAACCAGAGCAAACAGTCAATCTTCAGAATGGGAAAAGATATTTGCATATTGTAAATCAGACAGAAGTTTAATAACTAGACTCTGCAGAGAACTCAAAAAAAGAGCCAATAATCCCTTTTATCAATGGGCAAGTGAGATGAATAGAACCTTCTAAAGAAGACAGACAAATGGTTAACAAACATGTGAAAAAATGCTCATTGTCCCTAATAATCAGAGAAATGCAAATCAAAGCAACCCAAAGATATCACCTAACCCCAGTGAGAATGGTCCACACATCACAAAATCTCAAAACTGCAGATGTTGGCGTGGATGTGGAGAGAAGGGAACACCTTTACACTGCTGGCAGGTAGGACTGCAAACTAATACAACCTTTTTGGAAGGAAGTACCGGGAATCCTCAAAGAACTCAAGCTAGACCTCCCATTTGATCCTGCAATCTCATTACTGGGGCATCTACCCAGAAGAAAAAAAAAATCATCTTATCATAAGGACATTATTTTTTTATTTTTTTTTTTTATTGAATGGTAACTGTGTACATTGATGCACTTTGGGGGTACAGTGTGGTGTTTTCATAGAATCATAAGGACATTTGCACTAGACTGTTTATTGCAGCTCAATTCACAATTGCCAAACTGTGGAAACAACCTAAATGCCCACCAATCCAGGAATGGATTAACAAGCTGTGGTATATGTATACCATGGAATACTATTCAGTCACAAAAAGATGGTGACTTTACATCTTTTTTATTAACCTGGATGGAGGTGGAATATTCTTTTTAGTAAAGCATCACAAGAATGGAGAAGCAAGAATCCAATGTACTCAATTCTGATATAAGGACAATTGATGCTAGTACCTTGCAGGGACTGGGGAAATGGGAGGTGGGGGAAAGGAGGAGCAGAGAGAGGGACCGAGGAAGGGGGGTGAGGGATCAAGGTGTGTGACATACCTCTTGGGGGCCAGACACAATTACAAGACCTAACAAATGCAAGCAGCATAACCTGGTTCTTTGTACCCTCAATTATTCCCCAACAATAAAAAAGGGGGGCGGGATATAGAAAGGTCATAAAGTAATATTAAAAAACAAAACAAAATAATCACTTAAAGTTGAGGTTGGGAGCTTTTTAGAATAGAAATTTTCCCAACCAGGTTTTAATTTCTCAAATCATCTGCTTAAACATTTGCAAGATGGATCATCTTGCAAAACAGCTCTTTTGTAAGTGAAGCCAAACTGCCAACTTCTGGAGTTTCTGAATGTATAAAACTGCTTTTAAAGAAGATGCTCTCTGATTACAAATCGGCTAAATTGTTTTTCCAAAGCCCTTGACTTCAGCAGAAGTTCTCCTGGGCAGAGACAGGGTCTGTCACTCCGCCACTAGGCCCCAAAGATGCTTTCCTAATTCTAATTTCCTGGTGAAATGGGAGCCACGAGGGTCTCTAAACGAATTAAATTCACATCACGCCAACTGCTTGCTTGCTTTGTGCCGGGCACGGTGCCAAACACCTCCACATAATTTATCCCACTTAATCCACTCAACAACCCAGCGAGGTGGGCATTATTACCGGCTGTTTGCAGGAGAGGAAACTGAGGATCAGAGAGGTTAAACAATTCGCCCAAGGTCACCAGCTGGCCAAGGGGTGCACACCTTGAACAGAGGTCTCCAGTTTCCAATCGCAAGCTCTTTCCACCACCTCAGAAAACCCGGGTGTCAAGTTGTCTTAACTTCCATGAATTTTTAAGGCAACCGCAACTTCTCAGTAAGTTTAGGTGGCTGAAAAATGGGAATTTCCGGGGGGCTGGGCGCTCTCACGTACACTCCCCCACGGCAGCTGTCTCACCGCAGGTACCTGATAAATCATTCCATATCGCCCGCAAAACGGGGAGGATTTATTGGCTCTGGAGTTCGTGCCAGGCCCAGGAAATGCCATCTTTGAAAGCCGAGAGGCGGATTCGCCCTGGGAGCTGGGATCTGGCCGCCTCGCTCGGCTTGTTCCCCGCGGGCTGTGCGCCCCCTCGGCGCCGGGAGCCAGGGGCGCCGCGGCGGCGCGGGGCCCCCCGGGGGCGCCGGCTGCACGGGCTCCGCCGGTCGCGCCCGGCCCTGGCCGTCCGGAGCGCACGCCCACGCTCCGCCGCCGCCGCTGCGGCGTCCCGGCCGCCTGCCCGGGCCGAACCCCACCCGGCACGGCCAGCGCCCTCCCGCCCCGGCCCCGCCAGGTGAGCGCGGCGGGGCGCCCCCTCACCGCCCCGACGTGGTGCAGGGACCCCAGGGCCACCGCGCCCGCCAGCCTGCCCGCGCGTCCGGCGGACTGGTGGGGGCGGGGTAGCGCCGAGAGTAACCCTCGCCCCCGGTCGCCCCGCGCCCTGTCCCCGGCCCACTGGGGTCGCACCGCCAGTACCTGCAGCATCCGGGGGCGCGGAGCGCCCAGGTAAGTCGCGCGTGCGGGCGGCGCGGAAGCTCGCTCGCGGCGCGACCTGGCCGCCGTCTGAGCATGCCCAGTGCCGCCCGCGGGCGGCTCCCGCCGGCCGGGCTGGCCACGACGGGCCCGCGCGCCGGGCGGGGGGCGGGCTCCCTGGGCAGGCCTGCTGGGCGCTCCCGCTCCCGCCCCCGCCTCAGGCAGGCGCGCCCCGACGCGTCCCCTGGGCCACCGGCCTCTCCTGCGGAGCTCCGGGCAAGCCCTGAGTTCCCTCGCGCAAGCACGCAAGCATTCCTTCGGTAACTGTTTCCTAGACACCTACTGTGTGCCACGACCTCAGAGTGTGCCGTGTCTTTCTTGCCTAAGAAAGACAACCTGTCGGCGCTCAACGAGTCTTCCAATTAATAGGAGTTTTGCGCGATGGGTTGGTGGTTGAGCTGGGGTTGTGCTGAACCTCAGTCCAGCGCTCGTCCTTTTGCACTAGCGAGCGTCCCGGGTTAATCCCTGTTCCAAGGCTTACGGGGTTCCCTACCAGCAATGTTCTCCCCACTTCCTCTTCCAGCTCATCTCACACCTCTCTCCCTGCAGCTCCGTGAACACCTTTCAGACCATCAACCGCTCAGAAGTCAATCAGCCTCAGGACATTTGCGCTTGCCTTTCCCTTTGTGTGGAACGTCCTTGTCCAGGTTTTTTCACGGCTGGCGCATTCTCCTAGCACAAGTGTCCCCTTCTCGGAGGGTCCTTCTCTGATCACCTTCCTACGTTAGCGCTCTGCTCCTGGCCACTCTCCTTGTACTTTACTTTGTTCATAGCATTTATCATTATTTATCCATTCGAGAAATACTTACTGAGCACCTATTCCGTTTCTTTATACGTGGCGAACAGACAAAAATCCTGTCCTTTGGAGTGTGTTTGTGTGGAGAGAGAGACAGTCAATACATAAATACCAAATTAGCACAACTATGTAATACAGTAGAAAGTGGTAAGTTATGCCAGGGGAAAAGAGCAGGTTTGGGATCCCTAGGAGCGGAGTTACGCAGAGAATTTTCAATGAAGCGGTCACCTTGGGCCCTTGAGCTGACGGGGCGGTCTGATCCGGTGGTCAGATCGGGTGACCCTGTGAAGGTGATATTTCAACCACGCAGATAAATGGAGAAGAGCCTTCCTGGCAGAGGGAACAGCCAATGCAAAGATGAAAGCTTAGAATGGCACGGAAGGACAGAGAATCGGAGGGGATGGGGAACTGTGGCTTTTCTCCGATTGCCTACTTCTAGTATTTCCGTCCGGAATGTCAGCTCTGAAGCTGTGTCTCTCTGTGTCTGTACCGCAGTGACCCAGCCCCTACAACAGCGCTTGACACACAGTAGGTACTCAAAAACTATTTGATGAATGAATTTGTAAACCAAGGATGGACAGAGGACTGGAGCCCTCCGGTCCGTACCTGGGTGCCCGAGGGCCAGGGGGTCGGTCGGCCCGGGACACATGGAGGCCCCGGCAGCACC